CCAAGCTGAATCTTGATGTTCATTCATGTGAATGCCTTGGCATCTTTCATATGTAATAATCTTATTAGTTAGATCCAGGAGAACATGGTTGGCAATAAAGATCATCTGAGATTGAATCCTTCTCATTAAAAACAAGCCCCCATCTCTGGAACACTATCATCGAGAATTGCGGCGTGAGCGTGTGACCCGTCTCTCGGAGCGCGTGCCTGCGTTCAGAGTCCAGGGAGGTGCAGTACGCTGATGTTTCACGCCTAAAAAGAATTTGTGCATGAAATGAAGTCCCCACGGATTGATCGACAGTTCGACAGATTGGACCATGATGAGACTGTCTGTCGACGTCGTCATGGCTCGTTTCGGTGGTTCGTGGCATGTGAACGTTTCGAGGACGCATGGCGGCGGCCCAAGTTCCTAATTAAGTTTGGTCTGGGGACTTGAAGGAAGTCGTGTCAAAACCTGGGGAAGCAACTTGTGAGTCTCTTGTTCGAGGAGAATAGTGAGTGTATAGGTAGTTAAAACTGAGTTTCCATTCCAAAGTCAGTATCTAACTGGATACTCCTGTATAAAGTTCCAGGCTGGGCAAAGGTCTATGCATGCTCTATATGCCAACCATTCAAGGCGCTTCTTCTATACCTATTAATCCTCGTTTCCCAAGTCCCATTTTCTTTCACTTAAGCTTTTCACATGAAAACGGTACGTCCCTTACGGTGAGGCCCCCGCAAATTCCGACCCACACCTCCGGGCTTCCGAATCGGTCCCCAGATTCTTCTCAGCCGGCCCTTGCAACCTCGTTAATTCGTCGTGATCGTGATGGATGCGCAGCTAAACAGAATACATATTGCCAAGAATCCTTAGGCGCAACCTTTTCAAGACCGTGTCATCCTGGAATCCGGCCATCTTCCGGTAGGCTTTTCCTTCAGCCCTATACAGCTCGAGGCTGTGCCCCTGTCGACTGTCACATGGGTTCATACTCGTATTCTATCCAACCTTGATGTCACTTCACCAATGTAATAGAGATATTTTCGATGACTTGAACTGCGAAGCCATTGTGTATTATACATTGCACTATCCTTTACAGGGAGTATCTAAAAGCTACTCTGCATGTAGCCTTGACGGAACCTTGCCGTTCGTCTTGGGCTTCGTACCATTCACCGCGACTGGTTCTTCATGTTCGACTTCAATGCCGGCGATGAATGCTGCACTCACCAGCTCGAGTGCCGCGACAAAAACACACAAGAAACTGGCAATAGCAAAGTGTGTGATCGTTGAACCAATTTCCAACCATGAGCCCTCATCTTTGACAACCCAGAAAAAGTAGAGCGTCAAAACATCGCTGACAGTGAGGACGACCATGAAGAGCGCAGATGGTGCAACTCCCAGCCTCTTGTTCAGAACTCCCAAGTTCGCTGATATCAGGAAAAATGGAATAATGATCTTGAGAATTAGCAATGCACCCTGCGAGAAAGGATCAAACACTGGGATGAGCCGTGATACACTTTCCAAGCTGAACGATGAGATGGAAGCAATATTGCCTGTGCTGAAGAAGGCTGACTGTAGTAGAACCATGAAGAAAAGTGCTATCCGTGCATCCGAGAGGGTCAGTGGCCTAAATGTGCCCAGTTCACGCTTCTGCTGCTCCGCGACAGCTGTCTCGTTTTGGGCTTTGCCCTTTGAGAATGCATGTACCGCGTACTCGAGGCGCACCCAAGCCAATAGAGTGATGCTGAAGGCCACATAGAATAGGCCCTCGTACGAAATTGTCAATATGATGAACGTTGGGGCGCAGGTTAGGAAGATGATTGCAAGGCGATGCATGTAGTGGCTGTTGGGCTGCAGCCGATATGCCAAGGGGATGAGAAGCGACACAACTGATCTCTGTTAGCTACACATTTTCATGAATCGAATTCGATTGACTCACTCAAGACAACCCAGCCGACTACTTGATTTCCCCTTGGAAGACCGAGCTTGGCTTGCAGTGAGGTGGCACTGGAGTGAGTGACAAGCATCGCAAGTACGATGAGGCCAATCTAAAAATTCTGTGAGCGGTGCACTTCTCTTATGCTTTGTGCTGAATCAAACTTACTTGAGTACCAAGGAGCGTTCGACTTGTATGGAGACGTTTTGATTTGCTCTTGAAGGTGGTGAAATCCGAGAGGATAAAATCTTCGAGGACCAAGTATGCGAGACCAATGACAGTCATCAATCCACCGCCAACCAAGCTTTCTAATCAGCGCCTGAAACAATTCACGGGTTGAGGATAAAGCTTACATAAGGGATACATTCTCAACCTTCATTGCAGGGAGAAGGGTGAAAGTACTCATAGCCAAGCAAGAAAAGAACCACAAGAGGGTCAGGAACACATGAGACTTCATGAATGAAATGCCAAGCGTCATGGGCCAGAAAGCACCCAAGACAAAAAGCCCAGTCAGGACTTCGCGATGAATGTATCCAATGGCCTAGGACTGGTAAGCAAAAGTCTGAGGAAGCATCAAGAGGACTTACCAGAGACTGAATTATACCGAAATAGAGAACAACGTTGAAAACCAGCGCTGCAACCGCACCACCAGACTTGACATTGCCAAACAGAGCCTTGAAGCCTTTGGCAACGCTGGCTCTTCGAGCGTACACCTCTTCCCAAAACAAGACAGGGAAAAATGCATACAGGTAGTACGCAGGTGGGGATTTAGAGATGATGAAGGATGAGTAGAGAGCGACAAGCACTGAGGAGAAAAACGCCGATCCAAGCAATGTGCGCTGAGTGGGGATGCTCTCCTGAACCACATATAAAGAAAGGACGGTGGTGGTCGCATAGGTCATCCATCCCAGATAACCAACAGTGATCAAAGCACGCAGGAATAACCAGTCATAAGTCTGAAGGTAGCGAAGTCCCTGAAGCCCAATTTCCATCAGAGCGTCTGATTCTTCAATGGCCTCCTCAAATTGACCAGCGTCGATCAAAGAGCGAATGTGAGCAATGCGCTGCTCAGGGCCAAGGTCCTCGTCACTGAGAGGTCCGTAAGCTCGATAGCGGAGCTCTACGTTCCTCTTGCCCTCCTCCTTTATACGGTATTGCTCAAGAATGACCTGAGCATTGACCAAGGAAGCTTGTGCCTTTTCTTTTATGTTCGCAGATAAGAAGTTCAAAGGAAGTTGACCAACACCGTTCGCCGGAAACTCAGCGCCGATTAGATACGACATCAACGCCGCGACATCGGCTTGCGCAACATCATGTCTTCGAACATGATCCAGATTCCAGTCTGAAGAGTACTCATCATGACCAGGGGCAATGCTGTCGGGATGCAACTCGGGAGTGGCAACCCCTGAACCCCAGGATATGAGAGGAGTTCTGGTATTGTTAGGATGTCCATCACCATGACTACCCCAGTCTGTCATGCCGTGGTCAGCTGTGAACACGAATGCAGTCCGATCATCGGCATAGAAGCCCTCGATGAGCTCAACCATCTCCTTCACACCTTGATCGACTACTTTGATATTATGGAGGTACTCCTTGGAGTAAGGTCGGTAGGAGTGTCCAGTTGTGTCAAGACCCAGCAAATGGAGGAAGAAAACCACCTTATCCTCGCGAAGAGCAGCATTGAGGGTCTCGTTCGTCGCTGCTGCAGCGAAGAAGTCCTTGACATGGTCGAACACCCAGTAATCAAGCTCCGTAGCATCTTTGGAGAAATCCTCAAGCTCAGCTCCGTATGCGAAGGCATCGACCCTTCCTGGAACAGCCCCATGTTGAAACATTGGCAGAATATCGGGACTTCCCCAACTCCAGGTATGTCGACTGCGGTTGAAAACACTATCGAAATTGACCGGGTTCATTTTCCATCCTGTCGCAACAGCAGATACATCTTCGTACAAACCGGCAATGAGGGCCACATGGCCGGGTCGGGATTCTGTTGGTACACGGGTATGTGATACTCCAAAGGTTCCATGCTCGAGCACTCGGGAGCGAAGGTAAGGAGCTAGCGGACGAGGGACGAGGTCTTCATCAGATTCGGGATATGGTTCGGGGTGGGCTTGAAATGCTTTGTCGGCTCGCAAACCGTCACCTAAAATTGCAGCAATTGAGTTATACTGTCCAAACCATGCGGTTTAGGACAACTTACCAACAAATAGTACAAGGCGATCCGCAGGGGCCTTTGGAGAATCATCTGCCCGCTCAACATTGAACAGTCGCATGCCTGAGACAATCGGGCTAACAAAGTAAATGTCGAAGATGGAAAAGATATAGACCAAATGGAAAGCGACCGCAATGGCCATGAAGCCAATGCGGCTGAATCCAGCCATGGCGACTTAATTGATATGTTCGGGCGCGTAGTCGCAAGTGTAGACGGTTCGGATGATCAACGATAGATTTGTTGGTGTAAGTCAGGGGGTCGAAGATGATGCTATATCAAAATCTAATGGTACAACATGAGTCGAAAGTGCCTTAAATGAGAGGACAAGAAAAACAGAAGCAACAAATATCAAGAGAAACAAGAGGCAGTGACTAAGTCCTCCTTGATCCCGTCAAACAAAGAGGTAAAGAGAGACAGTCTTCATTGAGTTGCAAGTGGAGGTCAAGACAAGATATAAAACCGTGGCCAGAATTGGAATGACGCTGACGAGGGACGCGTCTATCCGACAAATTAGTGCAGGACCCCATCTGCAGGGGAAATACGGAGTACGCTAGTGCCCTGCGCTACAACCCCTCCACTGCTGGTGCCCTGTTGACTTGGGCTGGATGGTCCTTCAGCTTTTACACGTGGTTGGCTGCATTAAAGTCTCGTTGGATCCAAGCCTCCCGTCCCGTCAATGTAAAATCAAGTCCTGGTATCAAATTAGATAAGCCAAAGGGCGGGAACTTTAAAAGAGAAATAGGCTCAAGCGATCATAAGGGGAATGGTCCTGGAAATGTCAGCCATACCCTACCTCACGCGCCAAGATACCTTGTCGGATAATAGAAGTTTGCAACCTTGATAAATGAACGGTGTGGAGAAACTGATTACCAACAAGGTTCTCATTGACATCCATACAATAACCAGATCCTCTATCTAGAGTCATCACTAATCTATCCTCATTAAGCTGTTGTTCCCAGCTGCTTGCTCGTACATGCATGACGCTGAACGCATAACGCTGAAATAAGTCTTGGGTATCACTAGCAACATACACATCCTACCGCAACAACGAAAATTAAAATATTCTACTGCCTGGACAGGTCCTCTGCCAAAGATTTGCTGACCCTCAAGTAGAATTTGGGCGCTTGGGATCGCGGGAAGACGATTTCCTCCGTGAGATAGTCTGGGAGCATTTCCATCAACTCGACATCACGCCCAGCGTCGAGCTGTGGTTGGTATGTGAATTGTACATCCTCGATGTTATCCGAAGTGTCGTCGTTGTCCACGGTAAGTTTGAAATGAAGGGCTGGCTATAGTCAGTATACATATGGAGCGGGACCATCGATCAATTAACTTACTGCCATTGCGCCCAGTCTGTATGCAATCGAAGGTATCTCCGATGTCTTCTTGCTTTACGCCACGCATAATCAAGCCTGTCATATCAGCGTACAGGTTTTCCTTGGCTTGTGAAATGGCTTGTGCAGCATGAGCAGCCTCCGCCTGTGCTGTACGATTTGCTGGCCCAGAGGCTTGGATAGCGCTTCCTGGAACTCTGGGGTTGGCGTTCCCCGACCTCACAGCAGCCAATTTGGTTGAAAGAGTTTTAATTTCTGCCTCGGCTTCGGATAAAGAGTTGTTCAGGCTCTCAATGTTGCCCTCTAGATTCTCAGCCTTGACTTCGCTGGCTTCTAGTTGCTTTCGAAGCTCTTCACCCTCCTTAGCCAGTGCAGTCTGTGCAGCAAGCTCAGCCTTAAGCTCGGATATAAGCTGTGTAGCGGCTGTTGAAATCAGCACAATGGGCAACACAGTGTGGTTCTTGCAACGAGACTTACCCGCTGTTCGCTCTTCAGCTTGCTTCTTAAGCCGATCGAAATTCCGCTCAGCTTCCCGAACACCAACCTCACGTAGATCCCGATGGCGCATCTCGAGGGCCTCGTACTTTTTAGTGAGTTCCCCTAGCCTTCTCCGTAATGCGACGTCACTGGTATCATAGCTAGACCATGACTCCAAGGGCTCAGTCGGTCCCGCACCAGAGTCTTGATCTTCGTCTTCTTCCGGTACGGCGTCAAGTTCCATCACGTCTTCTGCTTGCGTTTCCGGAATCTCCTCAATCGGTGTGGTTGGTTGTCGCGGGGGTCGACCACGTCGCTTGACAGCACTTTCCGGAGCCAGTATCGAGATGTTGCCGTTCAATTTCTTTGGGCGCCCTCGCGACCCCTTCTTCGTCTCGGTCGCAGGGACACTTGCAGGAATTCCAATGTCTTCAAATGTGACTGTTTCGTCTGGAGCTTGTTTGGCCCTGCGCCCCCCCTTCGTGACACCACCATTGATTTTGCTCGTAGTGGCCGGTTGCGCTATTGCTTCAGGTACAGGTGCGAACTTATCGGCGCTGTTTCGACGCGTCGTTCGAGGTGCTGTTTTAGTAACCTTGCTGGCCGTTCCTGGTGGTCGACCGCGGGGCTTCTTCGTTGTGCTCATGGTGCGCACGGCTGCTTGAAGCTCAGATTTATCGAACATATCCAGATCGGGTTCTGAATCTGAAGCCACGAATCCAGCAAGGCCTGCTACAGGCTTTGCGCGCGCGCGTGGTGGCATGGTCACTTGTGTCAACGATCGTGAATGAAATGTGTCGCAAAAGCACGCGCGACAGAAGCAGGTGCAATAGAAAAATACCAGAGCAATAGGGGCAACTGAAGGATTGAAATTGAAGAATGCGCGAGTACAATTGCACGTATATCAATAACAATTATTGCAAGTGACGGGCGGGGATAGTGATGTTGAGAGGGGATAAATCCAGATCAATGTTTGGATCTTACTTGAGATCCTCATTATCCATCCATGTAAACAATTGGGCTCAGAGATATCCATGGCCCGTGCTTTCGAACTGGCGCTAGCCGCCACTTACCGCTAACAACGGGATGTCGGGCGGGCATGTGCCAGCGCATTAGGTTCCTGCCGAAACGCGCATATTGATCTTCTATTTTATTCTTCAAACCACCCATTTTCAGCCTTCAACCTTTAGACTTGTCAACGCCTTTCTAGGTGACACCGGCGCAGGCAAATTCTTGTTGAACAAGGAAACTTACCGCCGATTCTGACTTGATTACCGTCTGGCAGTCATCGCCCTCTTGCCACCTACTCTCCTTGCTATCTCATGCCATCCGAGTCAGCCCCTTGGCTGCGCTGGGTCCTCGGCATGGGGGAACGACGTAAGCTCGGCGATGTCGCTATGGACATATTGCTCTTCGCGGGCATGGTAAGTACAAGATTTCGAGATTCGCTGTTGGATTCGAGGGCATTGCGCTCATATTAGTCTGATAGATGACGGCTGGCCTTTATGTGGCTCGAAATTTCCTAAACCCTATCTTGAGCAACATTGCCGACCCCGATAAAGAGAAACACGAACAAGCAAGACGTCAGGCCAAGGCGCACCTTGAGCGGTTAAATCGGCATAAGAAAGACGGTCTTGATTATGGAGATGATAGCGATTCGAGAACAGGGCCACGACCGGAGGACCTGGTCTTGAATGAATACGAGAACTTGGTTGCACTTGAGATGGTCCCTCCTCAGGACATCTCTGTTGGGTTTGACGGTGAGTGAATCTGCAGATTGAGCCCTTGATACCTTTCCCCCTGAGTCGCTAATAATTGCAGATATCGGTGGTCTGGACACGATTATCGAAGAACTAAAAGAGTCGATTATATACCCTTTGACGATGCCTCACCTTTACTCCCACGCCGCACCCCTGCTCTCTGCTCCCTCTGGTGTTCTTCTGTACGGTCCTCCGGGTTGTGGAAAGACAATGCTCGCTAAGGCTGTTGCCCATGAGAGCGGTGCTTCCTTTATCAATCTACATATTTCGACTTTGACAGAAAAATGGTATGGAGACTCGAACAAGATTGTCCGCGCTGTTTTTTCGTTAGCCCGAAAAATGCAGCCTGCCATTATCTTTATTGACGAAATCGACGCTGTTCTTGGTACTCGAAGAAGTGGCGAGCATGAGGCCAGTGGCATGGTCAAGGCCGAGTAAGTACTACAATGTTTATCTTTTATCGAATTACCACTAACAAACCGCAGGTTTATGACTCTCTGGGATGGCTTGACGTCTTCCAATTCTTCGGGAATGCCTGCTCGAATCATGGTTCTCGGTGCGACCAACCGTATCAATGATATTGACGAGGCCATCCTTCGTCGTATGCCAAAGAAATTCCCTGTCACGCTGCCAGGAACTGAGCAGCGACGTCGAATTTTACAGCTCATCTTGCAAGATACCAAGACGGATCCTGAACATTTCAACCTCGACTACGTCGCAAGGATTACTGCTGGGCTCTCTGGTAGTGACATTAAGGAGGCTTGCCGAGATGCAGCAATGGTGCCCGTACGAGAATACATGCGACAGCATCGTGAGAGTGGACACGCCATGTCGTCCGTGGATCCCAGACAATTCCGTGGTATTAGATCAGATGACTTCCTTGGCCGCGAGGGAGGTCAGATCAAACTGCAACCAAAGCGACGTTCGAGCGGTGTTGAGGAATTGATTGCGGAGGAGCAGGACTAGCATGATGATTAGCAAACGATCCAGGCCAGCGACGGCCGATAATGTTGAATAGAAACACTCAACCCTGGCCAGCACCTCACTAGTCATTGCCCAATCAGCAGCATCACGATGTCTGCTTCAGGCTTACCATCGACTATACCGTACCACTCGCACTGTCCTGTCATCCCCCCACAAACTGAAAATGTCCGCCAGGGCTGAAGATGCGACCACAATGCTCAAGTCGGGGCACGGTTCCGTACTCCGGGGCTCCCGTACAGTGTAATTCACTAACCAGGGACGCACAGCTGGCGATGGGCCATGATAGTGTCTGATCACGTCATTTGGAATACTCCACTATGATTTTCCGGGGATCCGATAGCAATATACCTTATCCTGAGTACCGGCAGCCGGTATTCTGCAGGTATCTCAACATCAATCGCCCTCCGTTTATCGGTCGTATGACCCAGAAGAATGGCGGTGGGCGGGACCCAAACTGTCACACTGGGATGCTAGCAGCACTACAGAGCCCTAGGGGTCACTGAAAGATGGTGCAAGATCCCCTGTAATTGGCGCTGCAGACGCCCTTGCACAGAGCACGGCACTGTTATTGCGTAGTTCATCCAGTGCAGAAAATGAAGTTTGAGTTTCCAGTCCATCTTCCCCAGCCCAGACCGCCGACAGCGGGAATGACTCCCCGACTCCCGAGCGACCCTTCTCTTCCAAGCTCTGACTAGGCAATTCACCTCTCCCCTCTAGAAAACCTTCAATTCCTCTTTCTTCAATCATTCTTCAATCCTATTCGAGTATCGCTTTTGTCGCATACACTTTGTTGTGATTTCTCTCTGGCGCCCGCTCCTCCTCCGACCTAAAACCATTCCCCCGCCATCCATCACCTCTGTATACAACTTGACTGCGACACATACGCTGCGACTCAATTGACCGAGAATGTCCTCCCCTTCGCCCACTGATTCTGGCAAGTCAGCCAACCCTCTCAAGCGAATTGACAACGAGGGGCATGATCTCCCTCCATCTCCCGCTCCGTCAAGCCCTCGCAATGGTCGCAAACGCTATGCCCTCGCCACCGAACTTGTATACACAGACAGCAAGGACCAATATGGCGCCTCTAGCGTTCCCATCTATCAGTCTGCCACTTTCAAGCAAACATCAGCCAGTGGTGGCCAGCAAGAATATGACTACACGCGCTCTGGAAACCCCACCAGAACGCACCTCGAACGACACCTCGCTAAGATTATGAACGCTCAGCGAGCGCTGGCTATCAGCTCGGGAATGGGTGCACTCGATGTCATTACTCGACTACTCCGACCTGGTGATGAGGTTATCACCGGCGATGACCTTTACGGTGGCAGCCATCGTCTGCTTACTTACCTAGCTGCCAACCAAGGCATTATCGTTCACCATGTCGACACAACAACCGTTGATAGCGTGCGGGCACGCCTCTCGGAGAAGACCGCCATGGTTTTGCTAGAGACTCCCACCAATCCCTTGATCAAGGTTGTTGATATTCCATCTATCGCTCGCTTGGCACATGAAGTCAACCCCAAGGCTCTCGTTGTCGTTGATAATACCATGCTTTCTCCCATGCTGTTCAACCCTCTTGATGTGGGTTGCGACATTGTGTACGAGTCTGGAACCAAGTACCTGTCTGGTCACCACGACATAATGGCTGGTGTTATTGCCATGAACGACACTCAGATTGGAGACAAGCTATTCTTTGTCATTAACTCCACGGGCTGTGGTCTGTCGCCCAATGACTCTTTCCTTCTCATGCGAGGTGTCAAGACTCTGGCTATTCGAATGGAGAAACAGCAAGCCAACGCTCAAGCCATTGCAGAGTTTCTCGAGTCTCGTGGCTTCCGTGTTCGATACCCTGGACTCAAATCCCACCCCCAGTACGATCTGCATTGGTCTATGGCTAGGGGTGCTGGCGCTGTGCTCTCGTTTGAGACTGGTGATCCTGCCGTTTCCGAGCGTATTGTCGAGGCTGCCCGTCTGTGGGCCATCAGCGTCAGCTTTGGCTGTGTCAACAGTTTGATCAGCATGCCCTGCCAGATGAGCCATGCCAGCATCGATGCCAAGACTCGAGCGGAACGACAAATGCCTGAAGATATCATCCGACTCTGTGTTGGTATCGAGGACCCGAATGACCTGATTGAGGATCTTTCTCGAGCTGTAAGTAGCCTTGATTGCGATATTGGGCAAAGCTAACAGACTATGTAGCTGGTTCAGGCTGGTGCTGTAACTGTGACTCTAGATGGTTTCCACGCCGCTGGCGCAGCCAAGGAGCTTGGAGAAACCCCTCTTGTCATTCAATGAGCTACGAAAGTATTACGAAGAAGACCCACGAAAGAACAGGCCAATCCAATGGAGCCTCAAGGAACATTTTGATTTTTGCAAGCGAATTCGATAGTCTGCTGATTACCATTTCTCTACTGGACTTGTCATGGTTCTCAACCATTGACGGAGTGATGGCAAGGGGAAGTTTACCGCCGTATACCGCCTCACCAGCATTTCTATCAATAAAAAGTGAAGGAAAAGAAAAGGGCCTGTATTATCATCTCGAGCTGGCGTTGGCAGGGATGAACCATGGAGTTAGATTTATTTGTTTTGGGAACCTGCAATAGGTTTGAGACAGATCCAGAAATACGAAAGATTCAAGATCGCACATACCCGTTTGCTGTATCAGGATCTCGTTTATGCTCAAGCGTTCTCGACTTGTCTCGTTGATCCAGGCCGCGAACATATGACCATCTTTTTTGTCTTTCTTCCCAGGTTTTGGATGAATCTCCTGGGTCGATACGACTGAACCATCTCTTTTCAGCGTACTAGTAACCTTGGTCAGTACAAGTCATGGAACGTCAAGAAGAAAAGAACCAGACCTTTTCGCTTCTCTCCCACTTATCTCGACTTTGTGTGGCATCGAGTTCCTCCTGTTGCTGTTGTTGTTGCTGGTGTGTTTTGGTTTTAACCAAGGGTATTGCTAGTTCAGGGGTCAGGCAAACTGTCGTCCTCTTGACGTTCACCCCCAGTTTCTCGCGCATACACTCAGGCGTCTATTATACTTCGACAAGCGATATCCCCATGGGTTGTGGTCATGCCGAGCTTCGACCTCAGCTACTTACAGCACGTCCTTACCACCAGCCTCTCAGTTCATCATCGTCATCATGATAGTCTCGGCATTGATATCTCACCAAGCCGCGCGCATCTGGTTGGCGAAGCTACGCGAGACCTCCGACCTGAAGATCGCGCTCATGCTGCTTGGGGTA